CCTAAAAGTTGACCGCTAGCAAACGGTGGAGGCTATGCCCCCAACTTGGACCCAGAAACAACGAAACCTTTTTTGAATTAGACTTTTCTTTCTTAAAATTTTGTTTGGACAGAGGGTTCAGACTCTTTTTTTTATTTCCCCCTCTGCACAATCAGATCCTTTTTTTTTTTGGTTTTTTTTTTTTGTCCTTTCCCTTTCAACTTTCAGAAATCAATGGAGACATGGTGAGATGCCTACGATTAAGTGCATCGAGTGTCATTATAGGTGAGAAATGAGTAATAAATCCATCCCTCCCTATTTTTGGTGAACTGTTAAACATTCACTTAACTAACCATAGGGAGCCTACGATCAAATGGAAATATTCTGACCTAACTCCTGCAGGTACCCGTCCCCATTAATTATCCCTATGGCTGACTCCATTTCTCTCTCTCTCTCTCTCTTTTTTTTTTTTTTTTTCCCTGCTCGATAATGCCAGTATTGAGAGGATGGTAAAAGACCGGAGTCCTTTTTGGGAGCAGTTTTGCTTTTATTTATTTATTTTATAAGAAAATGACTTTCCTTTTCTTCTTTAATTAACAAATCATTAGCAATTAAATGGATAAGTCATTGGTTTTTTTTGTTGGTCAAAAAAACCACTCCAAATTGGCTGGCAGCTGAAACTGGACTGGAGTTGAAAGTGGAAATTGGAGATTCTCCGCCGTCCGCTCCCAAGAATGTGATGCCGGCACATTTCGGGGAAGCATCTTAATTTCCTTTCCGGAACGGGGAAAAAATTAAATTTCCTTTCTGGCCTAATTCATAGACAAGTAACAAATATAATACTAGATATTTAAGCATCCATTTGTGGCTGAGACCGTATATTCTATTCCACTATATATGCCACCAACAAGATAGTTGAGAACTTGAGATTAGATGCTTTCCACGAGTACTTTTTCTTTTCTTTTTCTTTTTTTTTTTCAATTGGGAGGTATTCTGATCTGGTCAGAATCACTTGAGCAGGCCAAACTACTTCTCTCAGCCTGTGAGAGTCCGTCCCAAAAATCACAGTACGGTAGCTCCTAGAAGTCGAATCTAAAATCTACTCTTAGAGAGGAGACTACGAAACCGTCTGAGTTAGGGATGTAATCGAATCGAACTGCTCGCGAGCTACGGTCAAAAGCTTGACTCGAATTCGGTCAAATCGAGTTCGAGCAGCTCGATAAGGTTATCGAGTCGAGTTCGAGCATCCAGAAGCGATGCTCGAAGACTCGACGAGCCTTATCGAGCATTTTAATTTTAATTATTTAATATATTATTCTTATAAAATTACTCTTATACCCAAAAGAATTATCGAATTTACGAAATATTTCAAGTCATATAAAAATTTTAAAAGGACAATAATGTCTTTTCGCTAAAAAAATTATCAAAAAAATGAATTTTAATAACTCAAACTCGATAAGGCTCGTATGGACTCGAGCTCATGCGAGTCGAGCTCGAGTATTGCAAGCAAGCATCGAGCTCGAGTTCGTCCTCCAATAATAGTTCTCGCTCGAGCAGTCTTCTTGCATATCGAGTTGAACTCGAGTATGGCGATACTCGGACTCGACTCGATTAAATTACAATCCTAGTCTGAGCTGCCTCGGGGGCTTTCCACGAGTACTTGACTCTAGCATTGGAGGCTAACCATATAAGTAAACAATCAGTACAACAATTTGGGATGTGTTTGGTTCGCATTTCGAAATCAAATTTAGAAATGAAATCACAAACCACTATAAATGGGGGATTTGGTAAACCTCCCTTGCATGTTTCGTTTGGAAGTAGAATAAGATTCGTTGTATTAAACAGTTGCCTAATACTATAAAAGTGAAAAATGATTGAAGACCAGATATAAAACTTTCACTCCCATAAATTGACTTTCGTGGTGATGCACCAACGAATAGGTACGAGTCTCGTCAATTTTCGTATCCATTCCTTCCCTTCGTACCAATTTACGAAACAACCCCTAGGTTAATTACTCAAAATCCTGGAAAATCACTTTTTTCCCTCAAAGTTTGTTGTATTGGTCAAATAAGCTCCTAAGCTTGGTAGCTAGTTCGGTAGTTTTAGACTGTCTGAGGTGCATTATAAGAATTAAGGACAGGAATGATTGCAGTTTTGGGAAATGTTATTTGTATTCCAACTTTTGTTAATCACACTCCCACTACCATTTTTATCATATATTTTTTATTTATTAAATTACATGATAAATAAATAGTGGGGGTACAATTAACAAAACATAAAGTGCAAATAACATTTCCCGTAATAACATCTCGGAATTACAAAGACATGCTTTATATTTTCTCATTTTTTATTTATATGCAGTAACTATTAAGGCCAATTTTCCAGAATCATAAGTGTCTACATAATTTATTCGTCCATAATTTAAAAATCTAAGTTATAAACACGTGATAGATTTTTTCAGGAATTCTAAACTTTTGATTAATCTTGATGTCTTTCTTCTCCATTTTCACCCACTTTTGGACAAAAAAATAGGCTGACAAAAAAAAAAAAAACTATATCTTATTCCTGTCTTTCCCTCCCCATCCTTTCCTTTACTTCCTCAAAAGCCAACATCAAAAATTTTATCACTCTATTTCCTTTCCCTTCCATTTCCTCAAAATAAACAGTGCCTTAACATGTTGTATTATACCCTTTTTTTAAATCCTAATAGTAGTTATTAGAACTTAAAAAAATTTATAATGGGATGTTTATAAATGATGAAAATAGATAGTTAAATGAAAATTTTATAAATGATATACGGCCACATAACATAAGGTACAACAAGGAGTAGGATAAAAAGGAAGACAACACATCCATTGCGACTGAGGTAATCTTGGAGGGAACAGTTGTTGGCTCCATTGTCACTAAATTGGCATAATTACAATTGGATCATTTGTAGCATTCCATCTCATAATTTGGTTGTTCTTCACAAATCCAGGAGACATACAAATCGATATGTCTTTGTGAGTTGAAAAAACAAGAACTTGTGTTAAACTTTTAAAATATGACTTTTATATATGTATTTATAAGAAATTTTGTTTATATTTATGGTGGAATTTAATGTGGTGAGAAATTTTCTTTCCTTTCATTCGATGATCCAAACAAGATGGATTAACTCAATTTCCAAACTCTCATTTCTCTCTCTCTCTCTCTCTCTTTTTTTTTTTTTTTAATTAGAGTTCTCTTATTTCCTTTTCTTCAATCCAAACAGTGCCCAAATGAAGCTTTACCATTTTAATAGTAGATTTTCTTGTTACTATGATTGTATATATATTCAGGAGCGACTTTGACTGTCACAAGTTTTTAAGGAAAGATTTTAAGAATCCAACCAACACAATCTCATAATAATTAGCTTAAAATGGCCACAGGGACACGAGCAGTACCTTGCATATCAACCACTTCGACTACAACCACCACAACCACCACCACCACCGCGGCTGCCCTCCTCTAGTCTACATCTCGTTTCTCGAGCCATCCAATATATTCACGAATATCAAGGGATCTTTAAATTTTTATTTTTTTTTCCGTTTCTGTTTCGTTATATTTTAACATTACTGCCAGTAGGACCAGCATCGCGCAGTAACAATAATGAATTTTTCACAGTTTCAGCCCCGCCTCTCCCTTTAATTACTCTGTGTCCCTTTCCCATTTTCCCTTCTTTTAATTGTCACTCCTCCTTGTTGGCTGTTGCTCCCCTCCCTTTGGAGAGAGAGGGAGAGGAGAGAGAGAGAGAGAGAGAGAAGGGGAATCAAAATACTATAAATACTAGTAGTAGATGAATAAATGCATTTTATCGGCTTCGGAAAAACTCTGATTTCATGAACTCATTTTAACGCAGATGCCTTTCTCTTCAATCCCATTTGCATAATCCAAACCCATGTGAGCGAATCTCTTTTTCCTCCCTCTTTTTAGTCGCTTAAAATTTGAGTTTTTCTTTTATTCCACCGGGTTGATAAGATTTCATTCATGTACCTGTTGTGTGTTTTTATGGTATATTATAAAATGCAAATATATATTTTAAAAAAAAAAAAAAAAAAACTGAAGTATGTTTCATGATTGTATGTCTGCATCGCTTAAACTCTCTCTATTCAGTTTAACGTCCTTGCAGCCGTCATCCTGATGATGGGCTCTCTATCTATTCAGCAAATTTTTATTTTTTACTTTTTGGACTAAGTGTGTCTGGGTTATGTTAACACACTAATATATTTGCTTTGCTGGAAACTAGGGCTCATATTCCTATGCAAGTATTTTGCTTTCTGTTGTTTCTGTTTTAGGAAGTTTATCAGTTGTCGGGGAAGACCAAGTTCAGCGGTTGCGGATTGGGATCCATGTTGGATCTATTGTTTATTAGTATAAAATTTGGGTGCCGTAGGGATTGGTAGTATTGTTTTGAAGCAAAAGTTGGTCGCTAAGTAGGACTATTATTATTTAATCTTCTTTTTACTGATCTTGGTGTAGTGTTACTTGTCTGTTGTTTATGCCAGTCGTACATGGTGGTATTTTTATTTATGTGTTTGTGTTGGTTTGTTTTGTAGGTCGCTATGTTGGAGGACAGTTTGCACATTGCCGTAAGGATTAATAAGTCGGTTTCTTGAGGTGGGGTTTCATGGGTTGAACTCAAGGAATCATGGGTAGCTTCACTAGTGACTACGAAGACGATAACGAATATCGATTCTTTGATGCTCAGGAAAGCATTGCATCAGTTTCGGAGTCAGGTCTAGGTTGCTCCAGAAGTCACGATTTTGACTCTGGTTTTGAGAATTGGGAGTCCATTAGCTTTCAGTATGATGTCTGGATGAGAAGTCCCCGAAGTGTTAGGGAGCGCCGAAGGAAATTCCTTAGGTGGATGGGTGTAAATTTAGATAGGCTACCGGGAGATGATTGTATAACCCAATATGGTGATATGGATGTCTGTAGAGGGCAAATTGATAGGGTCCTGGAGAAGACTGGGGCGGTTTTGAGAAACTCAAATTTTGAAGATGAATTTTCTTCAAGCAGATCTAGTGTGTCGAGTTGGTCCACAGATGCTTTGGACTCGCTTAGAGAATTGGGCACGAATGAGAGTTTTATGAGAGGCTGGACTTCGGACGGCAGAAGAGAGGGCAATACCAATGAACTGGCGGAGAATGTTCAGCTGAGTCAAACTCGAGTTGTGGGCTTAAACCATTTACGGACAACTGAAGGGGATGAGAACACATATCATGCACAATCTGTGGATCAGCACTTTGTGGCAAGAGAAATGGAGAGTAATGGGAACAATGCTGCGATTATGGACAGGTTCAAGAGTCGGTGGTTGCGCAGAATACGCCTCTATGACTTGCATGACGAGTCAGCCTGGACATGCTGAGAACAGGGGAAATAACGGCTCCAACTCCACTGGAGCAGCTAAGATCCAAAGGGTTAAGGTTCGGAGCAATAGGAAAAAATTGAAGGAGCTTTCTGCTCTGTTCAAGGCGCAAGATATCCAGGCCCATGAGGGATCAATCTTAACCATGAAATTCAGCCTTGACGGACAATATTTAGCAAGTGCGGAGAGAAGATAAGATTGTTCGAGTTTGGCAAGTTGTGGAAGATGAGAGAGCTAATGAAACGATATCCCGGATATAGATCCATCGTGTTTGTACTTCACAATTAGTCATCTCTCTGAACTTGCACCTCTAATGGCTGATAAAGAGAAAATCAGTAAATTGAAGAGTATCAGAAAAGACCTCAGACTCTGCTTGTATTATCTTTCCACCAAGGTTTTTCGAATTCTGGAGGAACCGTTGCATGTGTTCCGAGGTCACACAGCGGAGGTCTTGGATCTCTCATGGTCGAAGAATAATGTGAGTTTATCATATGCCAACTAGTAAGAAGAATCTCCTATGGGTTAAACTTTTGTGGATAATCCATGATTTTCTCATGTATTTCTGTTCTTGTAGTGTTTGCTTTCTCCTCTGTTGATAAAACTGTTCGCTTATGGAAAGTTGGATGCAATCAGTGCCTGAAAGTCTTTCCACATAGTGATTATGGTATGAAGCTTGCTGGTTTATCTCCATGTCAATTTCATACATAAATATTGGTTGCTGGAGCGTATATTGGTCAATTGGATGGATGTGCTGTGATTGTAATGTCTGAAGTACACCTTTGTTATTTTCCATTTTGATGTGATGCAGTGACATGCGCTCAATTTAATCCTGTAAACAATGATTACTTTGTTACTGGTGCGATAGATGGCAAAGTTCGAATTTGGGAAATTAGTGTTCAAAGAGTTGTTGATTGGAGTGATGTAAAGACATCATTACTGCAGTTTGTTATCGCCCTGATGGGCAGGTCAGTAATCCTGATGTTTTCCCCCTTTTGTTTGGGAGGAAAATGTACTGTGACAGAAATTAATGAATTTTGTCGACATTTCTTTGTTTGCCATGCAGGGAGGGATCATAGGCTCAATGACTGGCACCTGTCGCTTTTTCAATGTAGCAGGTAACTCTTTTTCTGGTTTTTGTCAATAGTTGGCATTCCTGTGTTCTTTTCTAGGATGGTTGTTTTTGTATGCATGGGGGTGTATAATGTTAACCTCTAGGAAAGGTACTTGGTCGATAGCTGTAACCTTCTCTGCTTCAACTCTTGTGTGGTTTTAGGCAGACTACTAAGTTGTTGATTTCCAAAAACGTTTGGCTTTAAAATGGAAAAATTTGACGATATTTTCTCTTCCTGGTGCCACTGACATGAAACAGATATACCATAATTAAATATCAATGTTCTGTGCCAGTATGAAATCTTCATAAGTCTAGGTTCAGAAGTTGTATCCATTTTCCCTTTTTAGTGTATTGTTGTTTAGCACTGAGTTAAAAGGCTTTGCAGCAATTAATCTTCAATGTGTAGCATTGTATGCCCTAGGTTAATTGTCTGGTTAAAAACAACCCGTGGATGCATGTCTTGTATTAGGTGATCGCCTGCAGGTGGAAGCACAGACGTGTTTAGCCACTAAAAAGAAGTCTCCTTGCAAAAGGATAACCAGTTTTCAGGTATCATACATCACTAGCTGGTTTTGATGCTGTTTTCGGATTGCATTTTATCTCTCTTGGATACAAAAGTACACTTCTCTTTATCTACTGTTATTTATCTGCAGTTCTTCCCGAAAGACCCGAGCAAAGTAATTGTTACCTGTGCGGACTCTCAAGTCAGAATCCTTAGCGGCAGTAATGTGATCAGGAAATACAGAGGTATTTGCTTGCATTTTTCCTGGTTTGTGTCAGATAATGTTGTTGAAATGATTATGTTCAATTCTTGTGTGAAACCTGACTTTAAAGCTTGTCATTCATTTTATTTTTTTTTTAGATGTCACGGTTTGTAGTGTTTACTCTTTCTCTCTCTCTCTTTTCTTTTTAGGCTCACGAAGCTCAGGAAACCAGATCTCTGCTTCTTGCACCTCAGATGGGAAACACATTATCTCTGCATCTGAGGACTCTAATGTATATATGTGGAATCCTTTAATCTAGACGACACATCTCCATCTCAGCCAAAAAATGTAAGAGCTTTTGAGTGCTTCTCAGGTGATGCCTCGGTGCAATTCCTTGGTTTGGGCTTCAAACGAGGGATTCAGATGATATGCAGCAATTGTCTGGAATTGATCGGAATTCAACTGACAAACTGCCTCTCTCTCCTACTTGTTTTCTCTTTGGGTCACGAGTTCTTCTTAGAGTCCATACCCAGGGGTTCAGCAACTTGGCCAGAGGAAAAGCTTCCTGCTTCAGGCTCTCAGGTGGTCGCTTCTCTTCTGAGTAAATCTCAATACAAGTTTCTCAAGACTGCTTTCCAGAGTTCATCCGGCTCCCATGCCTGGGGCATGGTAATTGTTACTGCAGGCTGGGATGGTCGAATCAGATCATTTCACAATTATGGATTGCCAATTCCTCTTTGACAAATGTCCACCACTGGCTTAGGGATCCCCTCTTTGATCTGACGGAATAAATGTCGATTTTGGCATCATAAAACTCGCTGACTGCATTCCAGTTATTGCAGAGGGATATTTGACCTGAGAATTGGTGTCCGATGGGGCCGTTGGGATTTTTCCGGGTACATAATTGACGCTTGGTGAGGTGTTCAATTTGTACACTCTGTTCAATTTACTGCATCTGCCCTGTTGAGAGAGATTGGTTTTAGGATTCTTCGATTTATTATTTGGGAGAGAGAGAGAGAGGAGAGGAGAGGAGTTCATATGGGTTGGGCCATTAAAAAGAAAAAGATGGGAGTCGTGTGTCAATCTGCATATCCGTCTGATGGAGGATCCAGTGGGTCCTTACACAACCTCTTCCATTTGTTCTCTGGAATGTGCCATGGGCTGGCAGAGCTGGTGGTTAGAAATTGTTGGGGGGAAAACTAGTGGGAGCGTCATCTTTTCATGGGTTCGTTGGCTGGGTCTGAATAATTGAAATAGTTTGTGTCTGCCATTTCATCCCAGCTGAGGGTGGGGTTTGAGGGACTAGGGGAGCTTTTAGCCGGGACTCTTGAGAGGCGTGGGCCATTTCCACTTGGGTCGTGCTATAGATTTTTGGGAAATGACAGTGGGATAAGGGCTCTCGATTTCTCGACTTTGATTTGCTGCTGCCCAGATATCTGTCGGAGGTCCCTGCTTTGCTCGTGGACTACTACTCTGTTCGCACTAACATGACGACATGAAGTGTGATGTCTTCTAACATATTTGTAATTCAATTATTAGCTTCTCCCCCCCCTTTTTTTTTTCCTTGTACAGGCCATTATTTTTCTTCATCAATTTCTGTTTTGGATGTAAACGGTTGGTATCTCACAGTCGCATCCTTCCACATTATTATTATTACTACCAATAATACAAGAGAGAGGGCCACAGTTTTTTCGGTTCATTGGATCATGCTACTACTGTACTCAACAACGCGTAGGGTTCGCCTTGCATTTCACACTGTGTGCAAGCTGGTGTGCAATGCTGCCGTGCGCATGTCACGTGACCGTGTACGCACAAGAAAGTGGTGCTTAGGTTCAAGGATCTGCTGGTAGAATGGTCCGAGGGGAGCAGTAATTGGAGTGGATGATGTTGCACCATCTCGACAACATTGGTGTAACTTCTCTTTGTCCTCGAGCGCCTGCTCTATCTTCGTGCTGTTTCTGTGCGGAGATCGGTCCATAATTTGCTTGCGCTTGAAGATAAACACGACCGCGGAGGGGTCGTGCAACTTGTACTGTGTGCAGAAAGCGGTGAAACCGTGGAGATCCCTTTCAAAGATACGCAGGCTTTGTATTCTTCTGTGAAGGAAGTTCGCGACAATTTGGAATACGGAACAACTCCAGCTCATCCACACGACCGTGTCACCAAACCAATTTTATAACTACTAATAACTTCTATTTTCTAGTGAGCTCCAAATGTTAAGGGCCCAATTTCATAACAAAAATTGATATTCTCATTCATTGCCCAGCAATACAATAATAGCCAGGCGGCATCACCAAATCCGATAGGCTGAGAGGGAAAAAAGACAACAAAAGGGGAGGAAGGACGGCATTGACGGGAGGGTGGCGTCATATGGGCTGAGGTGAAAGGATGGTGGCAGAAGAGAGAGAGAGAGAGAGATGTATGTTTTTGAGTGTTATGAGGTGTGTATTTTAGGAACTTTGCGAATTTTTTGAAGTTACTATAGACAAGGTTGGATAAAAACTATCTATTAAAAACTAGCAAAAGCTCGAGCATCCAAATTGACCCAGGATTCATTAAAAACACTACTGATTACATTTTGCGCAAAAGGATACCTATAGGCAACAGATAATATTGGAAAAATTCAAAAAACACAATAAAATTCAAAGAGGCTGCACAAGGTTCTTGTTTGACATACCGGACTAGTTCCCATATTAACCGTGCAAAATCACCAACAGCCACAAAATCCGTTATTTTTGTGGACAAAAAGAACTACTTTCTCTGTATAGCCTGCTTGAATACCATTGTCAAAAGGTATATGGCAGGATCGAAACAATAGAAACATTTATTCAGAATTTGGATACCTAATTCACCTTCTAAGCTCATCCTCTTAATCAAAACAAGAAACCTATTGATTCTTCACCTAAGAAATCCAGCCTTCCGTTTTCCAAGTCTGCAAGATAGGGAGGTGAGTTACAACACTTGTGCAATGTTGTGGAGGCAAGGATAAAATGCAATCGCATCAATTTCACTTGTTTTCTTCAGTAAAACAAGTGAGGTACCCAAACAGTGAGCAACAAAAGGCAAGGAAGGCTAGAAAAAGTACATCAATACAACCACAAATATTTGAATCTGTACTTCTATACAATGTTACAAAGAATGTGTTTTTACATGGCGAAAAAAATTATACTCCCTTCAGAGCTGCGCAATTTAATTTTGAAATTTTTAAAAAAAAATCACAGATCACATCGGGAAAAACGCAAAAGAAAGCCAAATCCTAACTAGCAAGATCATTTTATGTATCATAGTATCCAGATTCAGATATCCATACAGCTCTGGTTATTATAATGAAGTCCATAAAAGATCGCACCAACTTAGCACCTCGAAATAATAAGATAGATGGTCCGACAGCAACTTTTGCAAAGAAAATTCTCATTTAGAAAGATATCCAACCCCATTCAATCCACCATTGAAACCAGGAATGCAGCATCCATGAGCAACTAAGAAGCCAGAGAAATGGTACAAGTTTTTATGTACGAAGCTGACAAGCAAAAACAATAATGCAAAATTGACAAAACCAGTTACAATTCGGATACAATCATAAAATCAGCCACCATCTTGATATTAATAACCACCTGTTCCCCTGGTAGGCATTATTGGTAAACTGCAACAGCATGAGCAGTGGCAAAACTGACCAGTTACCATTGTCTGTGCATCTACCATCCAATATTTCCCTACTGAAATACTTAAGGTCCTTCACTCTCAATCTCGAATGTGAGGACCCTTATCTTAGCTGAGAATAAAAGTAGATAAAGAATATTTTTAACAAACGAATTATTAGAACCCAACTTGTTATCAGTTATGCGCACAAGTACGATTCTGGACTGCAACCAAAATTCCCTAGAAACTTCAAGCGTCAGCACAAGTCTCTACCTAAAGGAAATTTCCGGACTTACCACCAATTATCTTGAAAAGAACTCATCAATCTCTCTGTAGTCTTTAGCATGGTGGCATTTCAAAGCCATTGCTTTCAATCAGTTATTGTTAGCATTGCTCCAAAAATAAGCACAAATTCAGCAGTTTTTTAACAAGCTAGAGACAGCAATGCATATAAGTTGGGTACTACACTTTCATTTCTAACATTCTCACAAGCTAGTTGTGGCAAAACTTGTCATGACCCTTCAAAATGACCTTTCATTTGCCTCACGTACCAGCCAAGTAATGTGTCCATTCCAAATACGAGATGACAAACTGTTGAGGAAAAAGCCATTCAAAATGTGAAATGTGAATAAGTGTAAACTTAGCTCAAGAAATCTCGTAAAGGCTTTTCATTTTTGAACCAAAAAATGCTGAACATAATGCTATGAAGAGAATCATACTTCTTTTTTTTTTTTTCTTTTTTTCCAAATCAGATAATCTCGCCCTCATATAATGACATTAAGTAGCAACTAGAGATTTTATTTTAATTTCATTATATATCACTACTTATTAGATTTAAAAAGTGGTATACTTGAACACCTTATTCCTCCATTTACCTCATTTGCTATTGCAATACTACCTCTTCAAAAGAGGGAAAAAAGGACAAAAACCGGAGATCTATTACCCCAATTAAGATATCTTTAATTTACACTATGTCTTTACTACGCCTCAATTGTTGCTTATCCTACCAATATTTTGTAGGGAACTGAAGAACATCAGAATGCACAACAATGACTTTGTTGCATTTGCAGTTCAAACAACTGCAAGATTCAAAGATCTTCATTCATGATCATAAAACTAAGCCTTATCATCTAGCGATGCAGGTTCAATTCCTACTACTTTGCTATTGCTTCTAATACTTTACATACCCTAAATATATATCAGCATTCCATACACCACGACACTAGTTTACGACTCAGCATCATTGTAATAACCACTTCAAAGATAATCTCATATGCAAACCCTATTTCTTATTTCCATTTTCTCTTTGAGAAAGAAAAATAACAATCAATGAAACCAAAGAACATCCAAATAAGGCAATTGGGATCAAGTCGACAAAAGAAACCCACGATAAAAGAGTTTTCTTCAAATTTCAAACAGATTGCAAAAGATTAAGTTTTCTTTCTCCTGAATCAATGAACTACAATGCCCATCGAAAGCTAGCATTAACAAAATATTTATAGGCCCTAATTAATAGGAAAGAAAAGAAATTGAAGAGTTCATAATATCCAACCTAAAGGATAAAAATAAATTCTTTTTTTTTTGGGTCTTCCCCGAGACCAAAGATTTGTACTTTATTTCTTCCTCCAATTCATAAAATAACATCACGACAGGAACATATTACAAAGCAAAATCTTTTACCCATCAGTCTTGAATTGATAGATCAATTACAAAATTGATCAGACAGGGAGGGTATCGACGGAGGGAGGCTGGTTACTAGTATGATTGACGGTGGACGGCGAGACGGACGAGTCGGCGCCGAAGGACCGGAGATTGGTGAACATGAGAGGGCGGTCCTTAGCCTCTTCTTCGTCCTCGTCGTCGGACTCAGAGGTATTGAGGTTAACGCAGGAGCATCGTTCAAGCGACGCGAAGAATGCGGAAGCCACGCTCATCCCGAACCACCTGGCCAGGCCGTCCAGCTTCTCGTAGGGCGAATTCTCCATAATAATCGAGAGATAGAGAGAGATGGATGAAAGATAGATCGATCGACAAAGAATTCAAGCCCTAGGACTGGAGAATAGGAAAGAGGGGAGCTGGAGCTGCTCGTTGAATCTGGGAGAGAAAAGAACGAGGAGGAATAGCTAATCGAGAAAGTGAGGATTCCAGGAGGAGATATTGGTCATTAACACGAAGGCGGTGCTGGAGGTCCACACACGATAAAGTTTTTTTTTTTTCTTGAAGGAAAACACACCTATAAAGTCTGAGTGCAATTAGTGGTAGGATTAGTTAATAAGTTAATTACAACATTTTTCTAAGGTAAGCAAAATTAAAATTATTAAATAGGGAAAGCATTTAGGACAGGGGTTACAATTGGGATGCAGTACACCAAAAATAAGGCAATCAATTATTAATTTCGTTAAATTATTTCGTACTACTTGAATTGTATCACTATTTGATAAAAAGAAAATTAACATCGGACCTACTTTTTTTTATCGTTTATCATATTTTTCCAACAATTTGATAGTATATATTGTCTACCCTATTTATCCAAACGACGTTGGTCATAGACCGGTAAGGGTAACCAACCATTTATAATTTTGGCTAATTCTAATTGTATGTGACGGTTTGAATGAAATTTCATTTCATACCCTAACCTTGTTTGGTTACTCGATGATCACTTAACCTATTGAACGAGGTTTGTGTATAATCCTCTATACATAGGAAAAATAATAATTAGATTTAAAAGGAAAAAAGCAACATAGTATATCTAAATTAAATAAAAGTATTCAATCCTATAATTTTAAAAGTCTCCCAACAAATTACTACATGACTAAAAGGGATAATTGTAGAAACCTCCCCTGAGTTTCTGACACTTGCACTGACCTCCCCTGAACTTACTAATCCTTTGCAATTTAGTGTTCATGTCCAATGAATGACAAAATACTACAAATCAATTAACAATTAATAAACTTTAAAGGGTGTAATTTATAGGCAAATACGCATTACCTATTTAAAAGTACCGGCTCTTTATGGGTATTTTACTTTCAAACATTTAATTTATGATAAATATATCAATGTTTGTAAGTAAAATTCAAAAAGTGTTACGGAATATTCTTACAAAAAGGAAATCGGTAGGTTATCTATTTAATATAAATTAAATATTAAAAAAAGAAATGGCCATAAAGTATTAATTCTTTATGGCTTTCATCCATTAGATGAGTAAAGTATTGACTCTTTATGGGCATTTATTTTTTAAAAAAATATTTAATTATCCCTAAATTAAATGATTTCTTTTTTTTAATTTACTCGGGGAGGTTTCTGCAATTATCCTAAATTAAATGATTCAGAATAAAATGTCCATAAAATTTTTTTCATTTTTTTAAGCAATGGATAAGTAAAATTTAGGGAGTGGAGAGAAAGGGGATAATTGAACATCAACTGGTATGACTTAGAGACCATTTGGTAAAATTTCTGATTGAAGTGTGAATTGCGAACTTTAATTTAAGTGTTGGAATGTTCTAAACCATGCATAGCCCAAATTATGAAGCAAAGCACATCAAACACCTCCTCCTTGAGCTGCCTTGACCCACATGCTTCTACTCCACCGGAGCCGTTTTTTATCCGAAGCAGATTACGGGGTCGATTAATGTGCATGCCACGTCACAAGGAAAATACGTGTACGTATGAAATGGTCAATCCAGTCAGTCTGGATGGATAAGTCGCTGACAAACTGAAGAACAAACACCAGTGATTCACAAAAATGGCAACCCTTTCAAACTCAACTCCTATGTCGCAGAAAGTCTTCTCTGCCACTGGAAGAAATTCCCTCTCAACAAGACACCATCGTTCTTCTCTTAGATTTTCTGGTACAAGAAGTCAAGAACCTCTACTAATCTTTCTTTATTTATTTTTTTCTCTCCCTTTTAATCTGACAACTACTTGAACTGCCAGAAATTAATGTTTGATCTTAATCAATGTAATCTGGGCAGCTTCAAGAAGAGACGACGATCCCGAACAAGTACAACCTAAGGAAAATGTATCCCGCTTCAAGGAACTAAGAAGCGTAGCTTGTGGCGTCCTTGCTGCTTGGCAGTGACTGCTGCCTCACCCGTCATCGGGCAAATGTAGGTTAATTTCCGCCAACCAATCTCATCTTCCTTTCCCTTTTCCAATTTCAGGTCCATTTGGAGATTAATTTGAGCCCAAAATCTTGCATCATCGATCTTTGGGCGTTGCCATATCAATATATTTAGCATTCTTTTTTTTAGTCTCAAGACAGAATCTCGTGTAACTAACAATTGATCTTGTGGCTAGCCTGTTGTTGTGCACCACACACGTATTAAAACTTGATGATGATGGAATACTTTTTGACTGCTGTTGATATAAAAGAGGCACAGCCTGAGCGATATGATTAAGTATATAGCAGGAGTAGTGAATAGTGATATACTCGTATGCAGATAAGGTTGCCGCCGCTGTCAACAGAGCCCAACAGGTGTGAGCGTGCATTTGTTGGCAACACCATTGGTCAAGCAAATGGTGTGTATGACAAGCCACTCGATCTCCGCTTTTGTGATTACGCGAATGACAAGTCCAACCTCAAGGGCAAATCTCTCGCTGCGGCGCTCCTGTCCGACGCTAAATTTGATGGGGCTGACATGACTGAAGTCGTCATGACCAAGGCTTATGCCGTTGGAGCAAGCTTTAAGGGTACTTCCGCCGTTTCTTTTCTCTTTTTCCTTTTTTCAATTTCGGCCTCAAAATTAGTACTAGCGTTACTTAAAAACCTGATCAACTTTGGGAATCGATTGTAAAGGCGAGAAGCCATCGTATTTGGCTTGGTTAAAGTGAGGAAAGCGTCATTCTTTTTGAGCTTGAGATCAGACTAATTCTTCTAAGGTGTATCTGCAGGTACAGACTTCTCCAATGCAGTTCTGGACCGAGTCAACTTTGGGAAAGCCAACCTCCAGGGAGCTTTATTCAAGAATACTGTACTATCTGGATCCACCTTTGACGAAGCTCAACTTCAAGATGCAGTTTTCGATGATACTATCATAGGATACATCGACCTTCAGAAGCTTTGCACAAATAAAACTATCAGCGAGGATGGGAGAGCTACTTTGGGTGCCGATGACTCCGGCCTTGTTTTCCATCGCTTCCGCTTCTGATCCAATTTTCTCTCTAAGACTAATGATGTAAACTGCAATTTTTGTATTTATGAGAATTTATAATGTAATGCACCTCAAATTGCAGATTATTGTGTCCTCGTTTTCGTACAGATTTGTTATAGCCAATGTAGGCAAAACATCTCAGTTTTCATAAGCTTTGTTTGTTGTCAGTTTCTAATGTCAGTTATGCTGCAAATGTTGCCAGGAGATAGATGGTTTTGGGGGAAGACAAGCTTAGTACTATTAAGCTTCAAATGTCAATTAAGCTGCAAGTTTTTCTATGGAGAAAATTTTCAAAAAATTATATGTATAGAACAAAAAAGACAAAAACAAATGACCACGAAGAAAATCGAATTCTGCTTTAGTAGGCTACAGATCCAAGGAAGGATGTAGATTCGCAGTTCTTTCTAAAAGTAAAAGCTGGTCCATCAAATATTATTCTTTTTCTCCGAACACACTCCAGCATTTATGCTTCATGAAGCACACAGCCAGAAAGCAAAGAATCCCAATCTCCAGAAGTAATCTTCCATTCAACTATGCCTAATCTGCGTCTCCCACAAATCACACCATAAATCATCACCTACGTACTATTCAGAGTGACGGAGAAGAACATGGGCACCACTCTCGTTCATGTCATTAGCGCACTTTTGCTTGTTGCCTCAGTAAATATTCAAGTATGCCTTAAATCTATCTGCAATCCGCAGGATTCAGGGTTTATATAGGTGATAAAGAGACTCTGTTTCCTAAATAGAGAACTAAACATATTAATGTTTTTATTGTTGCAATTAGGAATTGAAGGAACTGTTGGTGTTAACTATGGCACGGTGGCCGACAACCTACCTCCGCCAGCAGAAGTTGCACATTTTCTCCTCGAAAACACCATTATCAATCGTGTGAGGCTTTTTGATGCCAACCCTGAAATTTTAGAAGCATTTGCTCACACTGGTATTGCCATTACATTAACTGTCCCCAATAATGAAATTCCACAGCTTACAAATCTCAGTTTTGCACAACAGTGGGTCACAGCCAACATTACACCTCATTTTCCTGCCACCAACATAGTCCGGATTCTTGTAGGGAATGAAGTAATTTCCAGTGCTAGCAAATTGTTGATAACCAGTCTTGTCCCTGCAATGCAGACGCTCCACACTGCCCTTGTTGCTGAGTCTTTAGACCATCGTATTAAAGTTTCAACTCCACATTCCCTAGGTATTCTTCGAGCTCAAGCCCACCGTCCAGTGGGGAATTTCGGCAAGGTTATGATACTCATGTGCTCAAGCCATTGCTAAGCTTCCTGAGAGCCACGGATTCACCTTTTCTAGTGAACCCATATCCATTCTTTGGCTGCTCTGCGGACACTCTAGATTATGCACTATTTAGGCCCAATTCAGGCGCTTTTGATGACGACACAAAGTTTACCTACACAAACATGCTAGATGGCCAATTAGATGCAGTTTTCTCAGCACTAAAGCTCCTGGACTTTTCTGATCTCGAGATTGTCATAGCTGAAACAGGCTGGCCCTCAAAAGGAGATGCAGGGCAAGTTGGCGTTGATGCCGATACGGCAGCTGAATACAACAGAAAGCTCATGCAGCATGTAACATCTGGGGTTGGGACACCCCTCATGCCGAACAGAACATTTGAGACGTACATTTTTGCTCTTTTTAATGAGGATTTAAAGCCAGGGCCAACTTGCGAGAGAAATTTTGGCCTCTTCCAGCCAGATATGACTCCAGTATATGACATTGGAATTCTCCGCCCAACGGTAGCTGCAGCTGCTGATAATCACCATAGTGCTAGATATTTGTTCGTAGTTGTATTCATTTGCTTGATTGGTTTGTAAAATTGGCTCTGGCAGGCTAAAGCGAATTTCCCTTCCTACCCAACCCCACAAGCTGTACCAGTCAATCCCAGTCCAATCCCGGCTTCTGGGGCAAAACGATGGTGTCTGCCGAAGACAGGAGCTAAAGAAGATGCATTGCAGAAGAATCTTGATTATGTATGTGGATTGGGGATGGACTGCAAACCAATCCAAGAGGGCGGAGCATGCTATCTTCCCAACACTGTTCGAGGTCATGCAGCCTATGCCATGAATGCATATTATCAAGCTACGGGAAGGAATGACTACGCCTGTGACTTCGGAGGAACTGGAGCCATCACCAAATTAGATCCAAGTATGTTGATTTTGCAACCATAGATCAAGTTTCAACCCTCATTTTGTTCTTAGTGATGCATTATCATAGTTTTAACTTGTGTAATCTATTTCTATTCAAATTTCAGGTTATGGGAGCTGCAAATACTGAAAAGAAGAAACTGGGATTCACGGATGCTTGACTGCTAAATTCTGTTGCTCAGAGCTGTGAAGCAAGAAATGTCATATGAGCACTGTAATGTGAGGATAACGAGTAATAGTGGTAGAATAGTATATAGACTTCAAAATTTAAGAGGAATTCTCCATTAAGCAAGAAAAATTTTATGTACCAAATTTTTGAGTTATTTGTAGGCTATGCAGTCCTAACGATTTGTTGTATCCACTATCCACAAGCTTTTCCACTGCAACAAGTCTGCAAACTTGAATAAGTTCAGCATACGAAGAGACCATCTAATCCAGAATATTCGTATAATCCAGAATGTTTATTTGTGCAAGTTGTCTTTCTTACTCCCCTTCTTAGAATATTCGTCTAAAAAAAAACATCGGCCAAATGAAGCTCTGACACACTTTATTTCTCATTCTATGCCTACACAGCAGCAAAAATGAATTTTCCATTTGCAATCTGACAGCCTAAAATTCAGTAGGGGGCAGAGGTGTCAGTCGCAGCCGTGCTAACTGTGCATGGCTGCCTGACGCAGATGTCGGCCGTAGCCGTGCACAGTCAGCACGGCTGCGGCTGACACTTACTGTTCCCTTGTAGCCGCTGTCGGCTGACTTCGGGGAAAAAAAAAAAAAAAAAAAGCTAGGGGTTTGGTGGTTCTGTCTATGGTGGAAAACTGACTCATCTGTGCATGCGCGGGAAGAGCAAACGAAATTTGGGCCAAGATATCATTGTGAGACCGGACAAGAGCTAGCTATTAAATGAACTATTGGACACCAAGTAGGTAAAAATGGTTGATTATGTAGTCCCCTTCTATTTCAACAAAAAATAAAAACAAGCCCCTCAACAATTTATGGGCACTTGTTTGCATCCAAAAATTGGAATCAGTCGAAGAACAGCTCTCAGGCCAAATTGGCGAAGGACAAAATTTGAAGGGCAATTTTGGTAAGTTAAAAGCCCATAAATGTGTTTATGTGTACTCCAATCTTAAGGATTAAATTTAATTGTTAGTTTGCGTAGATGAGTAATTATATACATAAATAATTAAAAGGAATTAATTTTATAAAAATTTTATTTTTAACAATAATTTATTGAAGAATTTTGGTTCATAAGGTTATTGTAATTTGGTAATTACAATACTTAGGGTAGTTATATTGGCAAAATGTGATTAAGAAATTAGAGCAAAAATTAAAAGTTTTTCTCTAAGGATAAAATTGAAAGTTTAGAAAATGATATTAAAAGTTTATACCATAAAGAAAGTTTTTAATATCATTTTCTAAACTTTCAATTTTATCCATAGGGAAAAACTTTTAATTTTTGCTCTAATTGCTTAATCACATTTTTGCTCTAATTGCTTAAATACATTTATGGGCTTTTAAATTACCAAAATTGCCCTTCAAATTTTGTCCTTCGCCAATTTGGCTTAGGAGTTGCTTCCTAACTGATGCCAATTTTTGGATGCAAACAAGTGCCCATAAGTTATTGAGGGGTTTGCTTTTTATTTCTCGTTGAAATAGAAGGGGACCACATAATCAACCGCTTCTACTTGGTATCCAGTAGTTCATTTAATAGCTAGCTCTTGCCCGGCCCCGCAATGATATCTTGGCCAAATTTCGTTTGCTCTTCCCACCATACACATGCACAGATGAGTAAAAACAGCTTTCCACCATAGACGGAACCACCAAACCCCTAGCTTTTTCTTTTTTTTTTTTTTTTTTTGCCGAAGTCAGCCGACAGCGGCTGCAAGGGGACAGAAATGTCAGCCGCAGCCGTGCTGATTGTGCACAGCTGCGGCCGACATCTGCGTCAGGCAGCCGTGCACAGTCAGCACGGTTGCGACTGACCCCTCTGACCCATACTGAATTTTATGCTGTCAGACTGTGGATGAGAAATTTATTTTTGCTGCCGTGCTGAGTCAGCATGACAGGTATAGAATGAGAAATAAAGTGTGTCAGAGTTTCATTTAGCGGATGTTTTTTTTATACGAATATTCTAAGAAATTAGCTCTCCCCGGCCCGCCCTTAAAAAAAAACAGAGAGAGAATCCAATCCAGAAATGGAAAACCCTGCAAACAGTAGCCGAACGTATCAAACCAATCAACAGGACCAAACGTACTTTCAGAATTGAGAGGAAAATGGAAATTTCTAGGGCAACATGGAGACGTTTATCATCATCATTATTATTATTTTGCTCATTTTCTATTAAAATGGAATCATCCAAAATGCGTAACGGATCTTCTGTCCCACTTTTTATTATATTGCTATTTCTCATTCATAAACATCATGTTTTAGTTCTTATTTTCTTTTAAGATCTAATAACTATTAATTGAGTAAAACACAAAATTTAATGAACACAAAAAATCAAAATGCATAAAACATAAGATTTTTATGAAATTTTGTTATATTTTTTAATTTTCTATTATATATTAATTTTTTGAAACGTTGTATCTATTTTTTACTCAATTAATAGTTATTGGATCTTAAGAAAACAAATAAGAACTAAAACATGATGTTTATGAATGAGAAATAGTAATATAATAAAAAGTAGGCATAGAGAGTGGCACAGAAAATGAGACAGAAGATCGGTTGTATCCAAAATGAGTAAGATACGGTTTACCTCATGCGCAAAGTTCTATTCCGTATATAAAGTCAATATTGTCATTTTTAGGCTTAAATACATTTTGCCCCCTTGTAATTAGGTGTTAGTAGCACATCGCCTCTTATGTTCTTGAAACCTACAAATTACCTGCTAATGCTAATAATAGTCCAATGTATTTGGATAGCAAAAGTATAATTATGCCCTCATTGTTAGAATATTGTCCAATGACCATTTGACTTTTTCAATTTCTTCATGTAGTTTTCCTTATTATTGTTTGAATTTCTTTCCTATTATAAAATATAAATTTTCATAATAATGTACTAAAGACTGTCTTATGAAAAAAAATTAATTAGCACAAGAATTAAAAAAAGTATATATTTATTCTAAGTAACTCCTAGTTTATTAACAATTATCGTTATGCATTATTTGGTACTAAGAATATTTAATATTTAGTATAAATATTTTACTCTTTTTTCTTCATCTACTTTTCTTCTTGATGCTTATTAACAGTTTTTTTTAATGATTTATTTATTTCAAAACTAAAAAAGAGACCGTTACACAAGTTATAGAGAATAAAAATCCGAAGTCCTAGCACCTAATTAGGCACCAGCCTAAGAGATGGGAATTCTGTAGCATCCATAGCCAGACATCGACCGATCTCCTTGGTAATTATCACAAATTACTATAAGAAACTAAAACTATTTAACAATAGTACTTTATGTAATTTCTATTTTTATTAACAATTAGTGCACCTTAATAAACATCTTATTAATAATTAATGCATACTAGTGCACCATCAAAATTTTCATCAATAATTGAAACACAACAAGAATTTGTTAAAGAAAAATAGAAACTACTTTAGGTTTTTTTAATTATGTATGCACTCTTGTTTCATACAATAATTTGTGATAGTTAAATATTCTACATAACTAAATAACCCATCAAAAGAAATTGTTAATGAGAAAATATAATATGTTAAACCATAAAAATAAATTCTTTGATACATTACTATTAAAATTTGTAAATCCTAGCCGATGGAGTAAAAAGGAATCCATACATAATGTGAAAAGAAGATGGAGAAGAAGGAGAAAAGAAAAGGCGATCATCATCTAACATTAACGTCTAACAAAGAGGGCATAATTGTTTTTTGCTAGAAACAGACGCTTGCCTAGTGGCCGTCGATAGGAGGCAATTTGTAGATAATTTGCTATTTGATCCTTAGAGAGGAGGGGGGAATACCTGATTTAGCCTATCATTTTTGTTTTTGTAAATTTTTCATTGAAAACAAAACTATATCATGTCCCTTCTGCCTCGAGGCGGTGAATTGGTGATTGGTAAAGCAAAAGTAAATAAATAATATAAGGTGAAAAATCCCCAAGGTTTTCAAATTTGGGAATTTAGAAGCGGATGAGCCAAATCTCTGCCTCCCAATTTTAAACTCGCACTTAAGAACTTGCGCTATTATTTGTTGATTGACGCTGTGAACATTAGGGAGTGCGACACTTTTTGACTGCAGTAGAAAGAGTAATTTACTCGAAGAACGATGATACATCTCCGTCGAACGAACATCTACGTCTACGACAGCGACTGTCAAGGTTGAGGCAGTGGCGGCATCTTTCTTCTTGCTTTTGTTTCGATTTCTACATACTGCCCAGTCCCACGAGTTCACTACTGATATCTTAAATATATATATAGGATAAGCAGCGAATAAAATTCTTCGTCTACAGCTTCGTTTTTCTGCTAGGGTTTCGATAAAAGTTTTTCCAGTATCTAAAATTGTCCCCCCTTTCCTTGAGATCATTCGGTTACGCAATGGCTGAATGGCAACAATTTATTCAATCTGTTTTCTTTGGCGTAATCTTCTCCTTTCTGCTTGCGAAGCTCTTCGCTGTAATTTTCGCTTTCCGAGAAGAAAATCTCCGGGTCGTCCGTGGCGATCCGACCGAAGAATCCCAATCGAAACCCTCAGCCGCCGCGATCGAACGGGAAATTTCAGAATCAGATTCTAGGGTTTTCGAGAGAGAAGCCGTTGATTGCCGATACAGAAAAGGACATTGCTGCCGCTGTCGCCAAGGAGAGCGGCTCAGTTATTACTCCTGGTGGGGACGATACTTATACTAGTGGTAGTGATAGTGATAGTGATTGGGAGGGCGTTGAGAGTACCGAATTGGATGAGGCTTTTAGTGCGGCAACCGCGTTTGTGGCCGCAACCGCTGCGGATAGGTCATCACAGAAAGTCTCGAATGATGTGCAGCTGCAGCTCTACGGCCTGTATAAGATTGCCACTGAGGGACCCTGCAGCACCCCTCAGCCGTCGCCTCTCAAGATGACTGCCCGTGCCAAGTGGTAATGCTCCTTTTCAGCTTCTCTCTCTCTCTCACACACACACTAGGAACACTTTTGCAATGCATTTGTGGATGAGCAAACTGTTACTGTACTCTTTCTACGATCTTATTGTGGTTGATTCGGTGTGATTTTTGTACTATTCAAGTGGCTGGTTGGTTCAATTCTTGTGCAGATAGTTTTATAATTGAAGCTTTGCTGGAATGTTGTGGCCAATCAAGAATTGGTTTTTAATTTCTCTACCAGATAAATTACTCTCACATTGTGGCTTTTATGGCCATTGCAAGGCTAGTTATATATATATATATATATATCTTCTTTCTAATCCTTCCATTGGTCAATGAATGAGAATTGCCTAGCCCCGTTATTCAAAGCATATCGTCTAGAAATCATATTATCCTCCACTTGTAATAAATTTAAATGAAGTATTCTCTAATAAGAAATTTCTCATGCAAGTAAAATTTCATCAATTGTCTGTTTGGATTGTGAGGTTGTCAGCTTCGAACTTCATTCCTTGTATATCATGCTAGTCATCCATTTTTACCTTTGCTTGCAAGTCACTCTGAAGTAAATACATGGTTTCCCTCGTAACTTGGTTTGATGTTATGAGAATAGCCTTGTTTGTAACTTGGGTTAATGTGTTTGAGAATACCTTGTCGGGGTGGTTGATCAAATTGTTTTCACCACCTTCAAAATTTGGGAGTGTCTTGTCATATGTGCACGGGGAATCTGGACTCATCTTTTATATATGAGATAAGAATGAGAGGCAAGACTGGTTATTGAGTGATCTTTAGAATGTGAAAGATAATAGAGAGTGCTATTAGCTTTGATTATACTACTAGTGACCAGTGTGTGATTGTATTTGGTTTTCCTGTTGAAAATGCTCTCCTTGGTCTTTGTTGTTCTTTGTGCTTTTTGGTCTAAATTTCAGATGGATGCATTTGTCTAGGAAGTACTCATTAAGACACTTTTTGGGTTTTTTTTTTCAACATATGATGATGATAAGCTTGTGAGATAGATGATTGTTTATTATGTGATGTCTATCAGTTATTCTTCTGTTTGGGATGAATATCTCAATTCTGATAAGTGAGAAAAAATCTCGTGTTCGCTAGGCAAGCATGGCAGAAATTGGGTGCTATGCCCCCTGAAGAAGCAATGCAGAAGTACATTGAGATTGTTACTGAATTGTATCCTTCTTGGATTACCAATACAGCTACTGTAAGTGTTTAAACTGTCTAAATTACTGGGCATATTTTTTTGGGGGTGCTAGTCCTTATTGTTACACATGGTTAATGACAGAAGAAGCAAGGTAAAGAGTCTAGTGGTGCGTCAAGTGCAGGATCCAGAGGACCGATGGGACCTGTTTTCAGTACTTTTACTTATGAGGATGAACCTGGAAATGACCTGTAAGATTTCTACATATGTTAGATTTGAAGGTTCAATTTGAAGACTTGAACTTGATTTTCTTTATCTGATTGAATACAAATCTTTAGGCTTTGTTGAAATGGTGAAGGGCTTTCACAATTTACCTTTTAGAGGTTACTGATATAGTTTCAAGATGCAACATGATATTTAGTTTACAACATGATTGTCATTTAATTTGATTGCTTCGTGTTTGAGGTTCCAATTGTGATTATCTGTGGCACTTTCCCTTCACCCCCTTCTGCGATGCTTTCATCAAACAGCATCGGCATTTAAGCAGTTTCTAATTGTTCTTGTTGCACTTCGTGTAGTGCATATGATTCAAGGATAATTGTTCTTTGAACAAACTTTGAATTGTAGTCTGAAGGATTGCTACGTTCTTTGCAGAAAATTGGATGCAATACACGCTTTTGCAAGAGAAGGAGATGCAGGGAATTTACTTCAGTGCATTGAAAATGGTTTTCCAGTAAATGCAAAGGGTTTTTTTACTTCTGTCTTGAAGATTAGAATTTTTTTTGTGATGTTATGAACTTGTAATTTGGGTAATAAAAGTTTTTTAAACTAGTTTTCAAGAACCCTTTACGATGGACTATATACTTCTGGATTTTACCTGGAAGAATGAGCAATGAATGGGGAAAATATGTTTTCATTTGCCAATATTGCACCAGTTACTTGATGGTCCTTGAAATGAATGGCAAACATTGAAATCTGATGCATTTCACAATATGAAGTAAGAATCCTAGTGTGTTTTCATGTTTCACTGTGATATCATGCAGTTTCATTAAAATAATTGCAGATAGTGAGGGTAGGGCGCCGTTACACTGGGCCGTGGATCGTGGTCATCTGAATGTCACAGAATTGCTTCTAAGCAAAGGTGCTGATATAAATGCAAAGGTGAAAGACTACCTTGATATACTTTGAACTTCTGTTATGTATTTTCTTCATGTTTTGACCTTTCATGTAATAACCATACCACATTGTTTTGGGGGATTAAGCGAAATCCTTTAGCTCTTTTTTTGACCAATGGAGCCTGGCTATGACTTTAATATCTGGTTATACCTTGTGTTTAGATGATAAAGACCTTTGCTTTCGCTTCTTTATTAGGAATTAGAAGTTATTCGATTTTCAATCCCTCCCCCTTTTTTGTTCTTTTTATTTATTTTTATTTTTGTTCTTTTCTGTGGGGAGAGGCGTAAGGTGCTGGCCTTTTCATTCTGTTCCTGATGCTTGGCCGAAAAAAAATGTAAGAAGAGGCCAACATTGAGATGATTTGGCATGCACTTTTATTTTTTTCCCCATTTCCGATGATTCTCATCTTAGGACTATTTGCGAAGGTTGCAGCTGATTTGAAAACAGCTATTTTCACTTTTAACCCTTTTATAATTACTGATGTTTCATTGCTTGCTCAAGTTTTTGTCCTTTCTACTGCAGGACAATGATGGTCAAACAGCATTACATTATGCTGCTGTATGTGAAAGAGCAACTCTTGCAGAATTCCTAGTGAAACATAAAGCTGATATAGAAATAAAGGACAATGATGGCAATTCTCCTGCCGATCTTTGTGAATTGAACTGGCCTTGGATGCAGCAATCAGCTAGTGTGACTGACTGAGGATTTTTCGGTGTTATATTCCACTGATTGAAATTTTAACATTGTACATGCTATACATAATTATTAGGTTTACCTCTTAAAAGGTCATCTTTAACATATGCTATGTCCATTTGGAAGTTGCATTCTTTTTTATTTCTCATTGGCTTTAGTTTGCATTATTTGATTTGATTTTAGCATTTTGGCTTGAATGAATTTTATTAACTATAGATGTTCCATTTGTTTTGAACTCTAGGTTTTATGCTCTATCCAAAAACTGAGTTAACAGCAGCCATAAATCTTGCTGGGATTGAACTTGAACTTACTTTCCCCATTCCTATGGCTGATAAAGATGTTAGATATTCTACACTTGCAAGGAAAAAAGAAATACTGAAATAATATTGAGGGTTAAAAGTATGGAATCCACTTAAACTTTACTCTTAGTTGTACTTTATCCTCTTAACTCAATAAATAGGCATTTTGTCCTTTTTTTTAATTTTAGAACAAAAGAACTCCTCTCATATTAATTATTTTTATTTCTTTTTCCTCCTTTTTTTGCTCCTTTTCTACTTGTCCCTTGTCTTTAAAATTTTCTCACTTCTCTCATATAATTGACTACTTTCTTCTTTGCCATTATTATCTATATATTAATTGCAATCTTTAAACTTATTCTCTATTTATTTCTATCTTTTGTTACTGGAAGTATTAATGATGATAAAGTCTATGCTATGACAAAATATATGTTATCTACGCATATAACTATTTCACATATTACTTTAATAAATATGTTTAGAGCTTAGAATAAAATAAATTTTAATGTCAATAGTAACAAATTTAGATTGTAATAATATAATGGTTAATAACTTTACATTAAAAAAAAGCAAATAAAATTATTAGTTACCTTTTTTGGGAAATACTTTTAAATATTAAGTAATTTAAAGTTTTTGTTTGCTAGTATCTTTTTAAATAGTGTAATGGTTATAATTTTTTTACGCCATCCAATTTGTCTTAAATTTTAATAGTATAAATAAATAAAACAAGAATGAAATTATAAGTAAAAGGTAATTATAATATTATAATAAGCATATAAATTAGTAACACTGATAGGAAGTGAAACAAAATAGTGATATGAGAAAAGTGAAAAAATAGTATAAAAAATAAAAAATAAAAGAAAGAAGTGGAAAAGAAAAAACTATAGAATGGGTAAACAAAAAAGAAACAAAATAAGAGAGTAAAGGTATTTTTTGCCTTCAAATATCAAAGAGAGGCAAATTGTTTATTTAATGAGTTGAGGAGGATAAGGCACAAATAAAGCATAAAAGTGTAGGGGGTTAAGTGCATTTAAACATTGAATTAAGCAACGAAAAAAGGAATTTCCTTCTTTTAATACAAAAAAAAATCCCTATAGTTAAGCTAACATACGAAAAAGTCCCTTATGGTTTGAACTAATTTGAAACATAAACGAAAATTATCAAAACTAATGAAGGCGGATGAAATGTTACAATTATCCTAAAATATGTGAGGAATAAAAGACCTTCCAACAACCATTAAGCAAACTTACAAAATAACCACCTTTGGTTAAGTCAATTTATAGAAAAGTTTTCTATGGTTACATGTTACTTTTATTTATTTATTTTGTGTAAGCAATAATGTAACTTGTATTTGGAAGTTTTTATTTATTTATTTATTTTATGTATACAAATAAGGTAAGTTTATTTTAAAATTTTTGTTTATTTACTCTATGTATAAAAAAAAAAGGTTAGTTGTATTTGGAAGTTTTGAGTTTTTTTGAAAATTTTATGAGTTCTAAGGAGTTTAATAGGTATATCACCTAAAAATTTGAATTAGAAAATTATTTTCATGTCAAGCAATCTCAAACTTGTTAATTTAAATGATTTTTATCAAATTTTCATATTAATTCAAATCACAAGGTACTGTATTGCGTGTATTTCTGTATTTCAAACTTGTTAATTCAAACGATTTTCATCGCTTTTTTAAATTAGTCCAAATCATGAGATACTGAAATTATAGAGAGTTTTCCTGTATGTTCTTATAATCTCAAGGGACTTTTCTATATTTTAACCTTTAATTTAAAGAAAAAAATGGAAATAAAGATAAAACATACTACTGAGATTTCTAACAATATCTTGAACTTTTTTTTTTTTTTTGGTTGGGAAGTCCTACCGTACTATAAAGAAAGATAACTTTGACGTAGCAATTTTGTCATCTCAAAGCACCAAATCACGCTGGCGCCTCAAGGTCCTTGCACGCTATTACAAAAATAATTAGGTTAAAAAAAAGCATAAATAATTAGGTTGGAAGTTTTAGAGTCGAGTCCCTCCATTTCCGAGTCCCCATGATCATTTTGCTCCCTGCTTAGGGGGAAACAAAACTGAAAATAAAGCATAAACTATTCGGTTGCGCGAGAATCACTACATCAAAAGGGTACATTGTCTCAATCCGCATTTATAAATCTCTATACATATATTCAAAAAATGAACTCGATGGATGGAAAGCAGGGAGTTGTGGTGATCTCGATCCCATTAGTCTTTAGTCCTTGTCCATCCTGCCCTATTCCAATTTGTCTCCAGGACAGAAAAAGGAAATCCTTGATAAATCATTTGTTGTCCTATCCTACGTCTTTTCAGTCCTACATACCAAATTAAAGCAAAAAAAAAAAATTCCCAAGTAGATCAGATACTTCTCTACAGCTCATCATGAGATTCATCTTCTTCTTCAGATCCAGCACCAGGGGCTCCTCCCGATCTCTGATAAACTGCTGTAACAATTGGGTTGCAAACAGCTTCCACCTCCTTCAATTTTTCCTCGTAATCCTCCTTCTCAGCGTTCTGATTATCATCTAACCAGTCAAGAGCTTCCTTAGTTGCTGTTTCAATTTTTTCTTTTTCATCAGACTCCAGTTTATCTGCGAGCTTGTCCTTGTCATTGATCTGATTTCTCATGTTGTAAACGTATGTTTCTAAGCTGTTTCTGGCATCAATTTTCTCCTTGACCTTTCTGTCTTCCTCTGCAAATTCTTCGGCTTCACGAACCATACGTTCAATTTCTTCTTGGCTCAAACGACCCTTGTCATTGGTGATTGTAATCTTCTCAGACTTCCCAGAAGCCTTGTCTTCGGCCTTGACATTAAGTATACCATTGGCATCAACCTCAAACGTAACTTCAATTTGAGGAGTTCCCCTATTCAAACAAAGGATAATTTCTGGTTAATGAAAATATAATCTCTATATGATCTCTTTATAATCACGCACTATTTCATACCGTGGAGCTGGGGGTATTCCAGTTAAATCAAATTTCCCAAGTAGCCTGCAGTCCTTTGTAAGACTCCGTTCACCCTCAAAGACCTGCAGATGACATTAATACAATTTAAACCAGGCACCACTTTAAGAGTCCTTTTCAAAAGTAGAAAAAGAAAAAAGCAAGTGCTTTTCACGAATATCTGTAGATTTCGCCACGTTTTCTTCACATGTACATGATTGCTACTCCAACGAAGAAAACAGACCTGAATGGTAACAGTTGTCTGCTGGTCCTGGTAAGTTGTGAACACTTGAGATTTTTTGGTTGGGATAACTGTATTCCGAGGAATCAACTTAGTCATCACTCCTCCAACAGTTTCAATACCCATTGTGAGGGGAGCCACATCCAAGAGAAGAATATCTGATCAACAAAACAAAAGACATTAACATTCGAGTAACAGAATCAATTTTCAATTACTGCTTCTCCATAATTGTAGCTAAAATATGTAATGTCCATTTCCCATTTGCCTGAAAGGTCCAGAAAGAATACCTTTGGTTTCATCACCTCCCTCTCCACTCAGGATTCCTCCTTGTACAGCAGCACCGTAAGCAACTGCTTCATCTGGATTCACACCCTTGTTGGGCTCCTTCCCATCAAAGTAATCCTTTAGAAGCTGTTGAACTTTTGGAATCCTGGTGCTTCCACCAACGAGAACAATTTCATCAATCTGGTGTTTCTCCAAACCAGCATCCTCCATGGCCTTCTTAACAGGTCCCATGGTCTTTCTGAATAAATCATTGTTCAACTCCTCAAAGCGAGCTCTGGTAAGTGGCTCAGAGAAATCGACACCGTCAAAGAGAGACTCAATCTCAACACGGACCTGATGCTGGCTGCTCAAAGCTCTTTTAGCACGCTCACTTTCTCTTCTCAGCTTTCCAAGAGCTCTGTTATCCTTACTGATGTCCTTCCCGTGCTTCTTCTTGATCAATTTAATAAAGTACTCCATGACCCTTTGATCAAAATCCTCACCTGCAAGATGTTTACAAAATGAACACATGAAACAGATGAATGCTAATCTCTAGTCAGAGTTTCTAATCTTATGCATTGTCGAAATCTCTCCTGATTAGTTCGAAATCATGAATTCAAAATAGCCTGTACCTCCAAGATGAGTATCTCCATTTGTTGCTAGAACCTCAAACACGCCATTATCGATGGTCAATATACTAACATCAAATGTCCCACCACCAAGGTCAAAGACGAGGATATTCTTTTCACCACCTTTTTTGTCCAAGCCATAGGCAATGGCAGCTGCAGTAGGTTCATTAATAATCCTTGCAACATTTAATCCAGCAATGATACCAGCATCCTTGGTGGCTTGCCTCTGGGCATCATTGAAGTAAGCTGCAGTTTGCAGGAGGATACAATTTATTAGTATGTGAACAATCAATCTAGAGTCTAAAATATGACAAGCTAAAATATTCTGTTCAATGAGTTCCACCAACCTGGGACGGTAACAACAGCATCCTTAATTGGCTTTCCAAGGTATGCTTCAGCTGTTTCCTTCATTTTTGTGAGAACCATAGCACTGATCTCTTCGGACTAAAGACCTTCTTCTCTCCATCTTTGATCTTTACTTCAATATATGGTTTTCCATCCTTGTTCACAATCTTGTATGGAACAAGCTTCATGTCTTTCTGAACTTCTTTATCCTCAAATCTATTTGAAGTAGCAGGATTGCAAAATTAAAGTGAATGAATATACTAATAACGTGTCTAAACATGAACAAAAAATGAGAAAAAAGTAAACATTACTTTCTGCCAATAAGTCTTTTGACATCGAAGATGGTCCTCTCGGATTAACAGCTGCTTGGTTTTTTGCAGCCTCACCAATTAATCTCTCGCCATCAGTGAAGCCGACCCACGAAGGGGTGATGCGGTTACCTTGGTCATTTGCTATGATTTCAACGTGCCCATTTTTGTAAACACCAACACATGAATAAGTTGTTCCAAGATCAATCCCAATAACCGTTCCTAATTTGGCTGCTTCCTCTTTCGCAATGGAGAATGCAAAAAAACTTCCTGTTCAAAACAAGCCGCCAGAGTTTACACAACGTGTTCCAATTGTGTAGGAACTCCAGGTGTAAGAAAATCAACACTACAAACGAACTGGAAATCCTACAATTGTGTGTCAGCCTAGTCTAAGCTTCTTTTCATCCCTCTCAAATTCAACTTAGATCGATTCAGGCCACAGCCTAACTCCAAGTGTCGGTTTTCAACTCAATACAATAATTACTACATCTAACTCTTAAGTCTCTTCAGAGTTGGTTGCAAGGAAAGTGTTTAAAACCATTCAATCAATTTGAGACGGGAGAGGCCATTGATATTAAAAAGAGGACTAAAATTACGGCATTCAATTGTCCTCCATCAAGATCATGCAAGCACAAACTTTCTTTTAATCCATAGAGAAACGAGAAAACCAGCTACTCATATAAGCATAAAAACAGATCTGAACAAGTATTTATAATTATCAAATTGCTGACATCAACGCTAAGTCCAAGGCAGATATGACAACACCGGAGACAGAACACGTTAAAGTGCGATTTAATTAATCACATGCCCGGCACCGTTAATTAGAGCAATCACGCGTAAACTCTCAAATCACGAATTTCCTAGAGATGCAGTTTTAACATTTCTGAGTTTCAACTCCAAACATCAAACCAAAAAAAAAAAAGTAGAAACGTAAGTAACAGTCTCCTACTCACCGAAGAATAAGATTCCGAAAACGATCAAGGATGCGCGTCTTGCCCACGCACCAGCCATTGCCGCTAAGCTAAGTAACCCGGCCGGCGATGCAAGAATTTTAACAGCAAAAAAACAAATGCCTATATTTCGTCAGCTATTCTCTGCTCTGGAGAAAGAAGGGGCCGCTCGCAGATGGAGAAGCGGAGAGTGGAGACGAGAGGACGGACATAGGGAAGCTTTATAGTTTTTAACCATTTTGCGGGTGGGTGCATTTGAATGAATGTTTGACTGATGTGTAATTGTGTCACAGCTGTTGACGTGGACCAATGGGATTTCGTATATGACATGTTGGAGCCAATCGGCTTGATCCTCATGTTGGCCCTCGTTGGGTTGATCTTAGCCGCTAGTTCTGGTGTTTGTTGTTAATTGGCTAATTTGGCCCTCAAAGTTTTTTGGACGACATCGTCGCTCGCTTGTTCTGGAAAGTTCGTGCCAATGATTTTATAAAATGAAAAAGTTTTAGCAGCTAGGGACTGTTTGTTTGAACTGAAAATATTTTCCAGGAAATAATTTTCGGATTTTCTAGTGTTTGGAAACAGAAGATGCTAGGAAAATATTTTCTAGTGTAAAACGTTTTACGCTACAGGATGTAAAATGACTTTCGGAACAGGACTTATGAAGTTTTTAGCCATTTCAGCGTTTACCTATCAAGATATTCATAACAAATAAGATATACCAATACTGAAATCATCGTTAAAAATTCATTCTTGTGTCTATTACGAAAAACTCCATTATCAGCCACTATTCCCCCTCCTCATCTTAGCCAATTTTACCCTTTTCCTCCTGTGGATCCCTAAGAGGACCAGAGTACAAAACACCCCGGTCCATCTTGATCTAGGAGAATTCACCCTGGTCATCCCATGATGAGAGCTCACTTCCGCCATGGGTGAGGGGCAGGGGCGGTCATTCTGGTGACCGCTCCTAAACTGTTCACGGCCAGATTTTGATCAAAAAAAAATATGCGATCCAGATTACTAGTTGTACATCGATTTTCACAATGTGTGTAGGGCTCGCAAAATTTTGTACTAAAATTACACGTTGTGCAAACAGAATTACGCCATGTGCAATCAAAGTTACGCGTTGCCCATTGTCCCTTTAGCCATATCCTTAACCCAGAACGACGGACACCTCTGCGAATGACATGACCAATGACTAATGGATTGATGTGACTGTCTTTTTTACCAAAGTCAGAATGACTTTTACGGCATTTTACAAACCTAAACCCACAGAAAACCACAAAAGTCGACAACTCTTATGGTTCCTGAGGAAACTTATAACCTACCCCAAAACCCTCCCAAACCTCGATGTGGGATAACAACCTAAGCAGGCGAGCTGCTACTAAGACCTAAAGAGACCTCACTCAACCCGGTAGAGGCTGTTGTCTTTTTTACCAAAGCCAGAATGACTTTTACGGCATTTTACAAACCTAAACCCACAGGAAACCACAAAAGCCTAAACTGTGACTGTCAACCATCCTATTATTCAATAATACATCTGTCACTGTTGTCCTAAACTGTCCTATGACAACTGACAACCAGACTTCATCATTTTTTTAGTAGACCTCTTTAGTATATAAACTCGCTTCTCTGTCCACTTGAGGTACACAATCTTTGATCTAATATAAGCAACTCCCAAACAACCTCTGACTTTGGCATCGAAGTGAGACCGGGTGACATAGTTCCGACTACTTCTTGTTTTGCAGGTGAGCTCGTCTCTTGGATATCTCGACTCTCTTACCAGAAATTTGCCTTGTCACCTCCTATGCTAGCATAAACAATGCATCCATGGAGATGTTGAAAATTTATGCCAAGAGCGGGTCTTGAAAAGTTTTTGGGTGAGGAAAATCTAGAAAAGTGAAGGAGATAGAGTGGAGGAAGACTTTTGTGCAGGAAGGTTTGTATCAGAATTCAAGAGCTACTTTTCCATATGGTGATTGATCAATTATAAGGTTTTAATTATTGAAGCAATTTTCGAGTAGAAATTTTTCTAGAATTTATAGATCCTTTTATCTGTAATCAAAAGATCACAAATTGATCCATATAAATAAGATTTCATGTTCTCTAAATAGTTATTAACAGTTAGAAACTAGCAAGACTTGACGAAAATCACCTCCAAAAACAATGACCTTTGATCCAAACAAATTGTTGCAGTCCATTATGTCTCTGAGAATTTTGTCAACACTTTCAATCGAAGTCTTGTGTGTCATTGGAGCTTCATCCCAGATGATCAGAATTGTAGATTGCAGGAGTTTTGCTAATGAGCTTTGTTTACTAATTCTGCATTGCTTATCTCGTGTTCCACTAATTGGTATTTTGAATCTTGAGTGAGCTGTCCTTCCACCTAGAAGAATCGAAGCCGCAACTCCACAGGATGTTGTAGCTAGAGCTATGTGTCTTTTTGACCTGATTTCTGCTAGTAGTGCTCGATAAAGGAATGTTTTTCCTGTTCCACCTGGTCCATCAATGAAAAAAGCTCCTTTTTTCTCAATAAAAACTGTATTTATAATAATATCAAAAACTTTTTTTTGATCAGCATTTAATTGCTCAATTGCTAATAAGTCCTGCTCTGGTACACAGATTCTTGTTTCAGCTATTATATCACGAGTGTTCTTGTTCAAGGTATCAAAATTCATGATATTTCGAACTAAAGCATACTGATTGATATCTTTTCCCATTGATTGTAGGAACTGATTTATCTGGTACAGTACCTAGAATCTTCAGATAATGGCTCTTCAAATTGTTCCCAAAGATATCTGGCATTTGAAGGAGGAAAATGAACAAGTAGTGTGGCAAATAATCTTCTCAAACTATACGGCATATGATACATAGCTGCTTCCTCAAGGCATTGTTATTGTGACTTATCAGACTCAAAGTAACCCCTGAGAATTGCTGCCTCACGAAAAGTATGTACATATGCTCCATTTATTGTTCTTAAGTCATCGAATGAAGTTGGACTTTTGATATGTGTGAGGAGCAATCTGAGAAAGTATCGTTCTCCTTCCATTGGACTGGCTGTTACTATCCTACCTATACAGTCTTTCTGCTTTCTTGGTTCCCATTTCCTCCTTCCTGGATACCAAACAAAGTGCTCAGGAAACTGTTTGTAAGTACATTTGAGATTCTGAGCTAGAGAATCAGTAGAATTCATGTAGAAAAATTCTGTCAACATGGTTCTCTTAGCAAATCTATTTGCTACTATATCACGTAGGTCTTGGTCTTCTCTGAAATTCAATGGTTGACAATTTTCTAAGTGAAGCTGTAAGTGAATAACAGCAGGATGTATTTGAAACAGCAGGAACCTATATATTCTCCATATACTTTCCACAGCACATACCCACCTAGCTGATTGATAGTCTTTGATTTCATCGATTGCAGAGACATGACCGTCAGAATTGAGCTCATTAGAATCCTGTGAATTGAGTACAAAATGAATCTTGTCATGACCTTTGTAGATATACTTATACATGTACTTTACTGCCTTGACTGTAGAGCAGATTTCAACGTTCAGATGGCAGTTGAATTTTGCAAGAAGGTAAGGATTGTATGGAACAACCACATCTGTTATCGAGCTCATGTCCACGGACCATCATTTTGTATCCATTGTTTCTTCTTCGATAAGTGGGGTATGTGTTATCTCCATAAAAAGTCTTATCAGCAAATGCTTTTGGAAAATTGTTCCTGCATTTTCTCTGATGTTCTCCTCGCATACAAACATTGGTTGGATTTCTTTTTCCACAAGAGCCATGAATCATGTGTCTGCGAACCATGTTGAAAAGATGTGGATTTTTGCTTTGATTTGGAATCTCTGCACTAACTATTCTGTCATAAGAATCTGTCGAGTAAAGTTTTGAACATGGCTTCAGAATTATGAGGAAATAAGCATGAGGTAAACCGCGTTTCTGGAACTCTATGACATATGTGTAAGCAGCAACAGATCCGAATATTTCTTTCTTGAATAACTCCTGTTTTAAAACATCAAGCTTTGCGTGAAAGATTCGAGCGAGCAGGTCTAGCCTGTTATGTGCTTCATCTGTTGGAAGCATGAGATTCTTTATCTTTGGCTATGAAGGATTGCAAGTCATTGTAATGAATAAATCTGGTTTGCCAAATTTCTGCACCAAAGCTATAGCATCAACATATCTCCTTTTCATGTCTCGAGGGCCTCCTATGAATGAAGCTGGAAGCACTACTCGTTGGCCTACTTTTGAACCTTGGCATTGACCTGTTATAACACTATCCATTACGCCTTGCAGTCGCTCTCTTCTTATGAATTCTTGTTTGCTTTTATAGTAATCCAATCTCTGACTTTCAATTTTGATGTACATATCCACAACATATTGCTGAAGTAATCTACCAGTGTTAAGTATGTTTGGAGAATATTTGTCTCTGATTTGCAATTTATAAGCATAATATTCTCGCATTGACACAAATTCACCGTTGTTTTCAGGATCATTGGAAACTGAAAGTTACAAAAATAAGGTATCAGTAACTGGTTCGAGCATATGAAGTTGCATACATTAATAAGATATAGAATGATCTGAGATTAATGGAAAATAATGGGAGTACTATGTTCTGAAAACAAGTAGTTCGACATGAGTAATTATGTAAGGAAGATGTGAACAATGTATATAAGTAATGTATAAGTCATTTACATATAAATAATGTGTTAGTTATTCATGTTAGGAATACCTTGTTGTTCAGCAGATATCATGTCTTCAGCAGATTTGTAATTGGTGAGGAGAGCAGTAGGTTTGTTTCTCTGAATACATCTTTTTCTCTTTTTGCCATTTTCTCTGACAAATCTTCTGATTCCAAGATGCCAGCCTGTTTCACCAAGTGCAAATAATAGTGGATATTGCAGAGGATCGTAACAGCCATAATAGTACTGCACGAGGTGATCCCTTCCTTCTTTTGTATAAATTTTAATGTGTCTAGCATAACTTGTTCCTGAACTCTCTGTTTCTGTCCAAAGAGCTGCAACCTGAGAAGCTATTGGATGATTGAATACTCGTTGATCATTCTATGAATGTGATTTCAGGACTATCTGATATGAATCCAAAATTGGAACGTTTCTTAGACTGCGGAGAAAACATGCGTATGGATTAGACTTCATGACTTCCATGATCTTCATTACTATACTCTCTGTTAATCTTTCAGAAACTGCCATTCTGTTTTGAAGCTCATGATCTGTATCATGAAAATATAGTTGCAGATATAATCCAGATCCTCCATGTGGAATAAGGTCTTTGATAAAGTGATAGGTTTGTCCTTGAACTTTGAAGGTATAAATGCCATTTGTTCTCTTGCAAAGCGATTTATCATAGTGTACACCAAAAGAAGTAAAGGCAAACATATTATTATATGTTCTCACATATGTACGAAAGGATAAAGCTTCATCAGAATAACCAGTGAACAATTCCACAAGAATATTTGGCAATTTATTCTCATGTAGAACTACTTGTCCGTCTGAGCAACAGAAATTAGGTGTCTCAGAGTGCATTTTTTTTGCTCCACAGTATTGACAATTAGCTTTTGCAGGTAATCTATCTGTCTGATCACTAACAAATTTGAGTGCATGAACTCCATCAACAGCCTGATTACCTATTGATTTAGCGATTGGTTCATCTAAACTAAAGGTTGGAACTGAACATAAGGAGGTAAAAGAGGAACAATCAGTGATTTGTAATCTATACCTCTGTTTTTTTTCTTTTTGTTATTAATAGCTTTCACTTGTTTCGCTGATGAATGCCTTTTGCCTGAATGGTTCAAGTATATATAATTAGAAGCAGAAGCCATAACCTTTATACACGCAGTGGTAGCAATGTGATCAAGCTATTTGCATGAATAGAAGTGGTTTGAGGTTGTATAATGCATACTGAAGTTTTTTGATCAACATCAGAAGCAATTAAACAGTTTAATATATTTTAATCACATGATTATTTAATGGATTTTTTATGCCAAATTAGTTTACAACCATAGTCAGAAATAAGAAACTTGATAGTAGACAACAAAATTGAGAATAAAATGACAATCTCATGAGAATTATCAAGCAGCTCATATGCTAATTTGAGTTTTTCTATATACAAGGTAATAAATTCAGATCAAAGCTAGTAACCTGCAGTTCTTCTTGTTTTAGCAGAACGATTATCAGGGACTTGATACACCTGGTATATTGGGAGGATAGCTGACAAATCTGTTCAAGGTAAAGTTGATGGAATTGTTAGATAGAATCGCATCAGCAATTTTTTTAAAAAGCTGAAAAAAGATTTGACCTGAAGTTTGTTCAGCTATTTCTGTCAAGAATTTGTAGCAGTTCATGCATATGAATGATTTATCTGAAAAGTAAACAAGAATACTAATATAGCTGATCACGATAATGTTGATGGTTATATATAGAAAGCAATAATCAATGATTAATTTTGAAGCTTAAATGACCTGCATTGTGTATCATGTCAGTAGTTACACATGTATGTTGTGTACGAGAGTTAGAAGCAGATCCTACGTATAAAAATTAGAGATGGAGCATTGTATCAATAGAATACTATTTATGATTTGAGTAGGAGAGATATATTAAAAACAAACTACACCATGTACCTTTCTCATAGCTTGAGAAGGAAGAAATTTGTTCCTTTAATTTTCTACCCAACTCAGCAGAAGGTAGTTCATCACTGTTATTTGGAGAGGGAGAAATCCGAATACCAGGTTTTGAAGCACCTATTACAATAGATAGAGTTGTGATTGGTTGCATGAATATTATAAAAAAATGCAATTTAGATAGCATAAGAAACAATGGACAGTCTAATTGACTACAATATAGCAGGAAACACAGATACATATACAACTAAGTTTAGCTGAATTCATTGATTTAAAGTACATAGAAATGGTACCTGTAAACTGTTTGTAAAATGAGAGTATGAGACTCCACTGCGTGAATCATCCGAAGGTTAGGTAGAAAAATTCGAAATTCAATATATACAAAGGTAGCGGTTGGAATTGTAAGAAAAGTTGGTAAAGAAAAATAAATTCTATGACTAACCTTGATTACAACCAATAATTCCGTGAACATTCTCACTGTGTTTGGAAGTTTGAGAACCAATAGCTTCTATAACTTTATCATTCAAAGTTAGTCATGAACGAAATAAGGGAAATAGACAGGTTATGATGAATATACTATGCACATACAGATTATGAGAATATAATAAGAGTTTTTGAATCACTATGTACCATGAGAACATTGTTGAGGAGAAAGGTTACGTATAACAGATGCAGAAACTGGTGATTGACAAGCCTCTTGAAATTGTTGTGGCAAGGACTTGGAAAGTATTTTCTCCAATTTTTTTCTGTGATAAGCTTCTCTGTTTTTTTTTGCGCTGAGCCTGTTTCTCTTCGACAGATAGAGCAGCAAATTTTTCTCTTTTTTTACGATTTTGCTTATCCTTTTTTTCACGAAGTTTATCAGGATCATCCCTTATGGATAGCTTGGAGCAGCTCATGTTTTTTATACGTATACACCAAGAAAGAAAGAAATATAGACAGAGGAAAATCTAGGCGTATGGACATATATATATTGTTTATATATATATCAATAGATAGGTATATAAGTGGTGATGCGCAAGGAACAAACTATTCAGCTAAAAAGCATGAAGATTATCAGTACAGATGGAATGAGCTATGA